CTGCTGAAAGCATCCCCTTGGCTGTTTTTCTGTAGTTTCGGCCTTTCAACCATTCACCTCCTTTCCCACATCACTCCCCGCTGCTCGAGGTCGTCCTTCCCTACTGCAGCCGCTCTTAGAACAGCTGTCCTTGCTTCTTTCCTGCAGTATTGCTTTTCCCGGCCGCTCTTTCCATCCCTTTACTGTTTCCCCTGCTGTCCAGCCATCCCGCTTCGCCGCCGCCGCTCAGAATCTCACCCGCCTTGTTGTTTTATTGCTGTCCGGCTATTAGACATTGCTGCCGCTGCCCCAAAATAGCAAACGGTTGTTTTTTTTAATGTCTCAGGCCTTCCCATTGGCTGCCGCTGCCCGAACTTTCCCCTATCCGTTGTTTCTCCACTGCCTACCCCGTTTATCACCTTGCCGCCACCTCTCCAATACAGTCACCACCACCTCGCTCGATCCGTGCTAGTCGCATGTCGTGTTTGTCATCAGTAATAATTTTGTTTTGTTATCATTTTTTGGGTTAATTCCAATATCAATTGGTTTCTGGTCTAGGTTTCGAATTCTCACTTGCCTATGGGGTTGGCACTTGAGTGGTTAGGCACATTAAGGGTGGCCGGGGCTCGTCTAATAACCTCCGGCCATTCTTTATATATTTATATATATATATATAGTTCAACCCAAGTACCCAGCTGAGAAATTTATGTTTTTATAATTGATGTTTGAAATCCACCAGTAGAGAAGGGCAAACAAAAAGAAAACACCATTCGGCAAGCTACCTGCTGGATTGCTCCTATTCCCATTAACATTATTAAGCAAGGAGTGTAAGGATGGTTTTGCTCTACCCTTTACATTGTCAAGATAACTTCAATTAGTTTTTTTTAATCTGCAATTAGTAGTGATAAGTATGATAAAATTCTAATAATATTTTTGAAACAGGTTGGTTTCAAAATGTTCTTGGGTGTTACTGCAACAGTAACAAATTGGGATGTTGAGGGTACCAGTTGCAGCCTTGTTCTGGAGGATAACCCACTTGTTGAATTTGTTGAGCTTCCAGACTCTTGCCAAGGCCTTTATTACTGTAATATCTTGAGCGGAATTATTAGGGGAGCGTTGGAGATGGTTTATTTCTTTCTCTACTCCTGACAGGCCAATCTTATTTCTTATTTTCGCTTTATCGTTTCAAGCTTGAAACATTTCTTAATTCGATTGATTGCTACTCTGTCTTCTTGAGAATATAACTTATATGCTTTATATTAAGTCTTGAAAAACCCTCCTAAAGAGACTAAGTATCGGAACCTAAAAAAGATTATTTAAATAATAAGGCTAATTTGTCTAGGAAGGTTTGATTTTACTTTGTTTTCTCGTCATCTTTATTCTAATTATTTGCTATCAGATTTGTAGCTCCGTTTGTTTTCACTTTGTTCAAATTGTACATATTGGTATTCTGATTTTTTTTTTTATCTTATGCAATGTCCATTCAGGTGTCCATGAAAACTGAGGTCACTTGGGTACGAGATATGCTGCATGGTGATGATGCATATGAGCTGCGACTGAAACTTATAAAACAAGTTCCAGAGGAATACCCATACAAGGATGACGAGTAAATAGATTTGCTAGATTAAAGTTGCTTACTGTAAAAAACAGAGGATCTTTTTTTATTTATTTCTTAAATCTAATTTTCAAAGTAATATCTGCAATATGAATTAAAAACAATTATTTTTCTTCGCTTACCATCATTGTAATCATTTTGCCAGATCGCTTGGGTCATAAACTCAAGACTTAAGAGCACAGTGAAAAAGTTGCAAAACAGCCACTATATTTTTGGTTATATTTTGATCTTGCGCTTTTAAAATCAAGCAGAGGACCTCAACTATGAATTGAAACGTCAAAATCTATTTTCTCAGATGAATATCGATTTTTCAAGCGCTCTTTGGCCTCATGATGAGAGCCGGCGTCATGCGCCTAAAATTTCAGAGCCCCCGATATTCCTGGGCACCATGACTAATTTTATATATTATAAGTGAGGTTACAAATGAAAATTGGAGAAAAATTATGGGTCTAAAGAGCCAAAAAGCCAAAATATTAGATTCCCCTATTTATTTATTTCTATTACTTATGGGGTTATATGAAACAAAATTATGGATGGCCTTGAAGTATGAAGGAGATGAACTTGCATTGTATTGTTTTCCTTAGTATAATTCTAAACTTAAATTCCAAACCCTTGAAAAGCAAAATAACTTGGGAAGCATTTTGGCATGAAAGTTAAAATTTTACAAAATTTGTAACACGCAAGTTCAGGGCTTGTTTTGACATTATTTTTGTATTTATTTTTATTTATATTTACTTTAGAAATTATATTTTGCTAGTTTATTTTTACATGTTTTTAAATTTTTTTAAATGAAATCTTCTTTTTTTAAACAGCTTTTTTTGCTTTAGCTCGACGAAATTGGCTCAAATTAATTTGAATTAAATTCAAATTAATTTTTTGAAAAGTTTTTGTTGAACTTGAGCTAAGCTTAAAACCTCTTGCACTTAATCATGCATCTTTAGTTCTTTTGATTTTTTTTTTTAGTTGGCAATGAAACAGTGAAAAAAATAAAGAATAAAATTTTAATTAATTCACCAATTTAAGTTAAAAAATATTTTTGTTTTCTAGTGTGGGGGAATTACTTTTAAGAATGATAATAACTTTTTTGTAATGGTGGAAAATTCATTTCAATTTTTTTTTTTCAGCGGTAATCTAGATATGAAAAAACTATTACTTTAAAAATGAAATGTTGTTATATAGTACCATTTTAGCCCTCACATAGAAAACTTGAATAAACAATCTTCTGATTTTTTCATTACTTTTTCATATACTTTTTAAGTGTTCTTGAGGGTTTTGAATGGTGGTTCTTCTTCTTCTTCTTCATTATCATCATCATCATCATCTTCTTCTTCTTCTTTTGATTGGGTTTCATCTTTTACAATAGTAGTCAAGCATTTGCTGATGACTATGTTAACCTCATTATTCGTCACCACATTCCCTTTGCCCTTGCCCATTTTCATTTTAGACTAAGTTTTCTCCCTAGTGCCAGTTGTGTGGCTCTGTCCTGATTTGGTTCGCTTTGGGTTGGGCAGTCTTGGTGGTTGGCCTTGGTTTAGTGTAGTCCAAAAGTGGTTTTGGTCTCTCCTTGTCTTGCAGTCTCAAGTGAACTTCACTAGCCCTTAGCCCACCCTATAATGGTGGTAATCAACCTGTTTGTTAAGTTAAATGATAATAAATGTTTTGATATTTAGTTTAATATCTAAAGATGAGATGTTGAGTTTTTCGATAAAATTTTTAAGGTTCTAGTACAATCAAATGATTGGAATATTTATACTAGTTTATATTAGGTTAGTTATGGCTGATTTTGAAGATCACTTTAGAGAAGTGGTTATAGGTTTGATAGATAGCTAGAAATTCTTTTGGTTTATTGTTTTAGGATGTGTAGTTATGATTTAGAATAGATAGTTAAGTTTAGAAGAGTTTATTTGAGTGTCAAGGGGTATACAATAAGACTAGGTTCTAGTAATGTTTAGCTTAGCTAAGAACTTTTAATCGAAATTTGGAGTGGTCTTTAGATTTAGGTTGAGTATTAAATGATATTTTATGATTTTATGGATGTTGAACCATTTATCTCATCTCATTTTACCAAAATCTCATTGTAGTGGAAAAAATGCTTTTTCATTTTTCACATAAGAAAATGCTTTTTCACATAAGAAATCTTCATCACATAAACATAGTTTAATAGTTTAATAGTTTTGTAGTTACTGTTTAAATTTTGTATTTTAGTTTTGTTATTAGTTAAATAATTTAGTTCTGATAATATCTCAACATTCAAAATTAGTGACAGTAATTTCGTATTGACTTTCTATGAATTTCCTAGTAAATTTATCATTTCAAATTAAACCTTCCCCGTGGGATCGATATCTGGGGCTTAAAAAGAAAGTCTTTTATTGCTTGATAACGTTGCATAAACTTGCGTAGAATCTCAACATTATTTGTTTAAATTTCTTATTCTTAAAGTATTGCATCAAGCTTTTGGCACCATTGCATAGTGAAATCAATTATATAATTTTTACACAACTTTATTCTTGGGATCAAGTTTTTTGGCACCGTTGCCGATGAAGGTAACAGTAAATTAAGTAGATTTGACAAATTAGGAAATTTAGAGATAATTATATAAAAAATAAAAATAAATAAAAAATTCAAAAATCCAAAAATAAAAAATATTTTTATTTAAGTGTTATTTTTAAGAAATTTTTCCTTGCTTATTATATTTGTTTATGTAGAATATTGGATCTGAAGGTTTAGTACCTTACAATTCAGAATTAGAGTGTACTATTAAGAAAATTTGAAAACAACAAAAAGAAATTAAAAATTTAAACGAAATGGACAATAATTTAAATAATCAAATAAACGAAAATCGACAAAGACCTTTAAAAGATTATGCTAATCCGACAGAAAATGAACTTCACATGACTATTCAAATCCTGATGTTGCTGCTAATTCATTCTAGCTTAAACCTGCTATTATCCAAATGACACAAAATAATCAGTTTGGAGGAACACTTAGTGAAGATCCAAACTTACATCTTGGTAGTTTTCTCAAAATTTGTGCTACTTTTAAATATGAAAGTGTCTGATAATGTTGTTAGGCTTAGACTTTTTTCTTTTTCATTAAAGGATAAAGCCAAGGCTTGGTTAAATTCATTAACACATAGATCTATTAGAACTTCAGGGGAACTAGCACAAAAATTCTTAGATAAATATTTTTCACCCTCGAAAACTACTAAGCTTAGAAATGACATTACATATTTTTGTCAGTTTGAAGGGGAATCGATATATGAAGCTTGCGAATGATTTAAAGATCTATTTAGAAAATGTCCACACCATGCTCTATCAGATTGGTTAATAATTCAAACATTTTAAAATGGATTAGTAGTATCACTTAGATCTATTATAGATGCTGTTGTGGGTGGATCACTAATGTCAAAACCTTTTGATGAAGCATATTCTTTAGCTGAAGAGATAGCTATTTACAATTTTCAATAGCCCTCTGAAAGGGTACATCCTAAGAGAGTAGCTAGTATTCATGATTCTGATGCAATGTCTATTTTAGCATCTCAAATTGCTGCTATTTCAAAAAAGATTGATCAAATAGGTATGAACTATTTACAAATACCCCCAGTATTGGAGAAAAAATTACTAGGATAGATCATTAATACTCAATCATCTTATGAAACTTTAAATGCTATAAATAATCAAAATAACAATACCTATTCTAATTTTTATAATCCTAGATGGAAAAATCACCCTAATTTTAATTGGAATAATTATAACAATTCGGTGAATTCCTTCAGAAATTTGAACAACTAAGGAAATCCTAGCAATCCACATTATTATCCTCCTGGATTTAACTCTAATCCTAACCCACAAATTAATGAAAAGAATTTGACGATGGAAGAAGTAATGTTAAGCATGGGAAATCAAATACAGAATCAAGGGGCTGCTATTAGAAATATTGAAAATCACATATTGCTACTACACTCAGTAATAGACCTTCTGGAATTCTTTCGAGTATGGTGGAAGTTAATCCAAAAGATCAAAATAAGGAGCAAATTAAAGCTATTCAATTGCGAAGTGGAAAAGAAGTTGAAATAAGGATCCAAAGAGAAATTAAAGTTGATGAAGAGAAGGAAGAAATAATGAAAATGAACAATGAAAATGAACAATCACAAGATCCTTTAGAAAAATCATTACCTTCGTTTCCTCAAAGACTGAAGCAAAAGAATAAAGATAAACAATTTATAATTTTTTTTGGAAATCCTTAAGAAGTTAATGATAAACATTCATTTTGTTGAAGCTTTAGAACAAATGCCAAGTTATGTGAAATTTATGAAGGATATACTAAACGAGAAAACCAAGTTTACAGATCATGAGACTCTTGCACTCAGTAAAGAGTGTAGTGCTATTATTTAGAAAAAGCTTCCTGAAAAATTAAAAGATTCTGGTAGTTTTACTATACCTTATGCTATTGGTGAAAAGTTTTTTGGAAAAGCTTTATGTGATTTAGGAGCGAGTATCAATATTATGCCTTTATCAGTCTTTAAACATTTAGATTTAGGAGAGATTTCCCCTACTGCTGTAACTCTTCAGTTAACTGATTGATCAATAACTTATCCAAAAGAAGTTATAGAGGATGTATTAGTAAAAGTGAATAAATTTATTTTTCTTGTATACTTTATAGTATTAGATATGGAGGAAGATAAAGAAATTCCTATTGTTTTGGGGAAACCATTTCTTGCAACAGGGAGAGCTATGATAGAAGTGCAAAAAGGAGAATTTATAATGAGAGTTAATGATCAAGAAGTAACATTTAATATTGCAAAAGCTATGAAATATCCAGCAATAGAAAACGACAATGAATGTTTTAGACTGAAAGTAGCTGATTATCTGAGTAATGAGCACTTCAAGAATGAGTTTGAAGACAAATTAAAACAAGGAGAATTTTTTGAAAATAAGGATGAAATAAAAGAATAAAATTTAGATTATATTAATTTAGATTATATTACTTTAGACTTGTTGGACAACGATAAAACAAATCTTATTCCTTCAAGTATTAGACCACCTAAACTTGAATTGAAAATATTACCTACTCATTTAAAATATGTGTTTTCAGGAGAGTCATCTACATTTCCTGTTATTGTATCTATGTTATTGTATCTTTTGAATTAACAAAAATTCATTAAAAAAAAATAATAGAGATGTTAAAAAGATATAAAAAGGCTT